GTCAGGAGAGGTCTGCTGGCCATGTGGTCACCTCTGGGTGGGTTGGGAATGGAACTCATGCTGAAGTGGCTTTAGTTTCTTAGTGCTGTGCTTTAACCCGCTGGCCACCAGGGAGGACCCAAAATAGGATGTCATTTTAATTTGCATTTCTGTAATTTGGAGATAATTTCAACTTCATTTCACGTGCTTAAGTGTTGCTATTTTTTTGTATATTATCTGTGGTTGTCTTTTTCATTAGCTTTATTGATGTTTGGTCCTTTGTCCCCTAAATTTAATTAGTTTAGTGACATTAATCATGGGTATTATTTATTTTAAAGTGTTGCACTGAGATTTATTATGTAGTATTCTTCTTTATTGTTGAATATTCCAAAAACACTAATCCAGAACAAGTCAGGTCTTAAATATTCTGGATAAATATTCCTGCACTGAAAAATAATGATGGTACTGTTGTTTAAGTATCTTTATGGCAGAAAATGAACCCAACATTTTTGTCATCTCTGCATGGTCATTGTTTTTCTCTAAATATTTTTTATGTATAATATCCTATGGAATGTGTATTTTTGGGTGCATTGTGGGTGTGTGCCTTATTCTTCAAGAAGTTTCACTTGTTTTCTTCTCTCTCTGTCTTTTTTATTTTGTAAACCTACCACTATACCAAAAATGCTTTGGTATATTAAACTCTGTTATACTTGTAAATGAAATGAAATTATAGAAATACAAAATAACCACAGTACTTAATTTTAAAGGCATTCACTTCTCTATATTGGAAGTTTGCCCATTTGATTAACTTTCCTTTTAAAAAAAATGAATGCTGAAAGCAAAATTTCTAACATTGTATTTACAGGATTAATATTTACCATATCTCCTCTTCTTTCCTTTTTTTCTCTCTGGAACATTTCCTTTCTGCCTATAGAAGTTATGCCAGCATTTTATGTCATGTAGGTTTGCTGTAATGAATTCTTTTACTTTCATTTTACCTGAAATTGCCTGTATTTTGTCTTCAATATGGAAGGATATTTTTCTTTTGAACAAAAGATAGTGAATTGGTTTTCCTTACAGTTTCAGGAGTTCCCATGTGTTAATTTC